CATCACTTCCACATTCAGCTGTCAGATCTCTGCTTCATCAGCTTCTTTGGAGGTCCCCAGGTGACATTAGGGGTCTGAGAGACCCCTAATGTCTCCATAAAGAGGACCTGCCAGTGTGCCTGTGCTATCACATAGGGGGATTGTTGGTACTAAAAAAACGGTATCGGTGCATCCCTAAAGGAAAGGTAAAACACTGCTATTTAACTATTTCAGATGCTTTATTTTTCTGTGCCTTCATCTATTAAAAACACAATAGATAGATAGATAAATAAACAAATAAATAAGAAAGAAAGAGTGACTGCACTTAACAAATGCTTGGGAGCAGGAATCCCACTCACTGAGAAAGCACTTTTTGTGTGAATGAAGCAGTCGCTGGCTGCAAGCTTTAGTCTGCAGTTTGTTCTCTACTTCTCTTATATATATATATTCAAAAAGTATTTTGATGCTTCTGCTTCGTTGGCATGCAATGTATTTAATACGGGTCTTTACTCCCTGTATTTGTATGTCTTATTCTGTTGTGTCATTTCCCTGGCAGCACAAGCTTTGGAAATAAGCACAATATATATTTTGCCTTTGAAGTAAACTGCAACAAAATGTATACACTGTGTCCTTTGTGAACAATCCCCGAACTAAAAACAAAACTCGAGGAAAAAATCAAATAATACAAATGAATAGATGTGCGGGCACAGCCCAGGAATTGGTTAAAGTTACACTAAACTCAGAAGTTAAAGCTTAAAAATGCATTTAAGTATCTTAACTATTATCAAAATGAATTTTATTTGTGTATCTCTCGGCTGTGGATCCTCAAATCATCTCTGAATTGGTGGTGACACTGTGCTTCCTTCTGGAGGGGGGCTACGTTTGTTCCCCATGGTCCCTGTGTGTGTTGTAAAGTAGTCACTGCTCCAAGCTCGCTCCCGTGATGGACTACAATCACAGTACAAATAAATAAACTAAACATGAGATTGTAGTCCATCACAGGAGCGAATTTGGAGCGGTGACTACTTTATAACACACACAGGGATCATGGAGAACATGAGTAGCCCCCCCTGAGCAGTCAAGCTCACTACCCTCATGGACTACAATCCTAATACAAATTAGTAAACTAAACGGGAGATTGAGTAATAAGGGCCAAATGGTGATGGCTAGACAACTGGATCAGAGCAACTATAAAACTGCAGCTCTTGTGGGATGTTCCTGGTCTGCAGTGATTATGGTCTAACAAAATTGGTCCAGGGAAGGAAAACCGGTGAACCAGCGACAGGATCATGGGCGGCCAAGGCTCATTGATGCACGTGGGGAGCGAAGGCTGGCCTGTGTAGTCTGATACTGATGCACAAATTGCTGAAAAAGATAATGCTGGTTCCCATAGAAAGGTGTCTGAACACACAGGGGGGAATTTATCAAAAATGGAGCAGCTGTGCATGACAACCAATCAGCTTTTCTCTTCAGTTTGTTCAGTTAAGATTTGAAAATGAAAGAGTGAAGATGATAGGTTGCCAGGGGCAACTGCCCCAGATTTTGTCTGCTCCAGTTTTGATAAATTCCCTTCACAGTGCATCACAGTTTGTTGTGTAAGGGGCTGCATAACCGCAGACTGGTTAGGGTGCCCAGTCTTACCTGTGTCCACTGCCAAAAGGGCTTACATTGGGCAATGAGCATCAGAACTGCACCACAGAGCAATGGAAGAAGGTGGCCTGGTATGATGAATCATGTTTTCTTTTACATCATATGGATAGCTGGGTGTGTGCCTGTTGCTTACCCGGGGGAAGAGAGGGCACCAGGATGCACTACGAGAAGAAGACAAGCCGTTGGGGGAGTGTGATATTTTGGGCAACGTGCTGCTGGGGAAACCTTGGTTCCTGCCATTCATGTGGATGGTTCTAAAAAAAAAATCTTGCACCAGGGCCCTTTGTTCCTTAGCTCCACCACTGGTTCTTTTGACATGTACTACCTACCTACACATTGTTGCTGAGCAAGTAAACCCCTTTATGGAAACGGTATTCCCTGATGGCAGTGGCCTCTTTCAGCAGGATAATGCTCCTTGCCACACGGCAAAAATTGTTCACGAATGGTCTGAGGAACACGAGTTCAAGGTGTTGACTTGGCTCCCAAATTCTCCAGATCTCAATCCAATTGAGCATCTGTGGGATGTGCTGGAAAAACAAGTCCAATCCATGGAGGCCGATCACCTCACAACATACAGGACTTGAAGGATCTGCTACTGCCAGATACCACAGGATAGGTCTAGTGGAGTCCATACCTCGAAGGGTCAGGGCTGTTTTGGCGGCAGAAGGGAGACCTATTCATTATTAGTGATATACAGGGAAATTCACAAAAGGGTGGAGAGTGTGGAGAAGGCAGGAGAAGTGAACAATTTAGGACACCATAGCTGAACTGGACAGTGAGCTTCATTAGAGAATTTTTCCAAATCAGCTATTTTGGCCTAAATTGTTCACTTCTCCTGCCTTCTCCTACACTTATGATCAGTGGCGGCACTATCGCAGGCACAGGCGGCTGCTATGGGGCCCGGGGCACAGCCAGGGGAAGGAACAAAGGGGTCCCCTGATGCCGTGAGGGCCGCTATGGCATCACAGGCTGCTTTCTGTCACTGGCGACTGTGAGGAGGAACCTGTCAGTGATCTGTGCAGTGGTGCGTTCCTCCTCACAGCCGCTGCTGAGTTAGTGACAGCCAGCAGCTGCGGTGTCGGAGGCCGGGGCCTGCCGGTGGTGAGGAGGCGGGGCCCAGCGACGGTGAAGGAAGAGGCCAGGCCCGGCGATGGTGGAGGAGGCCGGCCTGCTGGCGACCAAGGAGGAGGCAGGGCCTGGCAGTGAAGAAGGCTGACAGGTAAGAGTTATGCAGGGGGTTACCCTTAGGTGGGCTGTGTGGGATATCAGGTGGGCTCTGCAATGGGCGTAACTAGAAATCACAGGGCCCCATACAAAAGTTTGCTATGGGGGCCCTGTGATTTCTAGATACCCCCCTGCTTATGATAATGTTTAGTGGTCATAGTGTTATGGCTAATTGATGTATGTGATTGATGTTGTCTGTAAGCTTTTGGGTAATGATGTACACAAAACACAAGTCACCACACAACCCATCTCACTGCAGGTATGTGGGCTCTGCTGCATAATAGGATGCGCTGTACTGTAACTCGTATCCCATTTCCATTAACCAATGAAGTAAATGAAGGTTAGGGAAGTTCATTGGAGGATGAGTAAAGGATTCTTCTATTAACTATGTGCAAGAGTCCTAATGGGTAATATTCTAATGAGACCCTTGATCACCCCAGGCTCCATTACATTCTTATCAGGGATTAACTTTAGCCCCACCCTAATAAGTTGAAAAAGTGGGTCCCCAACCCAAATGAATAGCAAGTTTAAGAGCTTGCAGGACTGTTCCACACTGCGCGCCACAGACTTCTGGCGTTGCTTCCTAGTAAAGGCGCTTTAATGAAGCTACATAAATAAAATAGCTTTTAATTAGCATCACGCTTATGTGAAATGTATAACACAGCAGGTGTTCAAACATGTAGAACAGACCTGCTAAGAGCCCGCCACCAGTATCAACCACAAATGCTTCCCAAGACACTGGTTAAAGAACACCGCGCTATGCATTTTTTACTATTTAGAATCAAGCAAGTGACTTATTCTCAATGTAAAAGCTGAGATTTTATAATAAGCAGTCATTAACAATGAGATTTGCCCACCGTCATTCCCAACTTTGGTTGTAATCACCTGGGAGTTTTTAGGTGTTCTTGCAACTCTTTGTTAGATTCTCCATTATAAAGAATAGGAATCCAACACAGTGGTGTCACAAGGGGCGTGCGGCACGCACCCGGGTGACACCAAAATGACTATCAGTCATTTTGGTGTCACCCCCTCTAAAAAGTCGGGCACTCGGTCATGGACCAAGAGCCAGACAGTGTTAGGAGAGAGGGCGAACGTCCCCTCCTCTCTTTGCCGGCGTCCATCACCAAGATGGCCACCGGCAGGCATCAATTAGAGGGACGCACACGCGCGTGGTGACGTCACCTAGTCTCCGCTCCGGGTGACACCCGGCCTCGAGACGCCCCTGATCCAACAGTAGGACTTGCCTGATCCGGTTTTGATAAATTCCCCCCAATGTGATCGTTAGTGATGAGTCTGAGGGGGTGAGCTGAGCAATGGAGAGACAGATTTGTGCTTCCTCTGCATAGAGATGGTGCTGCAGGCTGTGGTAGGTATTGGACCCATCCACCTGTTTAGATACTGGTAAGCCACTGGCCCGCAAAGAGGTAAGTATGGGACCTCTTTTTTTGTTTTCGGCAACAAAGCGGACCTTTACCCCCTTTGACTAAAAATTACATCAGCGTACAGCTCTGCACACTGATATGAAGCCATCTTACAATCATTAGCTAAACATATTTTTATTTAACTTGCAATTTATTTTCCACTTCCTGGTCCTCTTGGGCATTCGTGATGTACTCTGTGCCCAAGCGTTGCATCCTGGGAAGGTTACATCAGCAGAGCATTGTAATTGAGATCTCCCCTGAGATGCTGAGCATGGTCACATGTCCTAGAGTTCAAGGAAGTAAACAGAGATGGATGCATTTGCCCTTAGTAAAAATGGCCACCGTGAGAAGAATGGGGAGAAAAAGAAAATTGAGGTCTGAAAAGAATACCAAGCCGGCAATTATGTAGAAGTATTTATTTGTAGATTGCCATTACTAAACATTTCTAAAGTTGTGTTTGTTGTCATTGTGAAGAGAAGGGTAAAGTTCCTTGCTTATAGCTCTTTTTTTAGAGACAACGTCCTGTCTGTCCTACCTAATGTACCCATGACTAATATTCCCCTCCATTATGACCGCTCTCTTCCATCTCAGGGTGTGCCGTGCCCCCTCCCCGTCCCTCACCCTTTCCTCCCGGTGACTCAGCCCACCCGAGGAGGAGGAAACAGAGCCGAGAAACGCTCCGCTCAGACAGCTTCGGCTACAACCGCATCAAGTGACAGCTCGCGACGTCCTCACGCTCGCTGCGTCACCGGGAGCGCGCGCGCCGGCTACGAGCCCGCGCGGCACCTGAATTGAGTTTCCCGCGCCTGGCCCAGGGAGGAGATCCGCTCAGAGGTACAGGGAGCCGGGTTGGAGGCGTCTGCCGCAGTGGCTTTGGCTGCTTGTCATAAATCACGCGGCGTTCTGACATGAAAGACAATTCCGTGCTGTGGTAGAAAAGGCCGCGGTGACGTTAAAGTGTAAAGTTTGTATGACCCGCATCATTCAGAGCGGTGACAGTTTGCTGGGGGGGAATCTAGAATAAGATGGGAGGAATGGACTGTTGGGGGCTTCATCAGCTTCCCTGCAGCCTTCCTCGTCCTTTCTATCATGGAGGGAGCTTTGGAATATATTGGGTGTCAGGTAACCCCCTGCAAACATTGAGGGCTTGTTCACATGAACCCGGCATGTTTTGACGCAGTGTTCCACCGACCCTGCGTGCTTCTCTATGTGTCATAGGATATCACTCCATGTCTTTTGCAATGCCGTGCCATGAGCTGCACTCAATATAAAATGGTTGGTGCTCGGCAGGATAGGCGCTCCCTCACCTTTAGTGCTCGGCAGGATAGGCGCTCCCTCACCTTTGGGGCTCGGCAGGATAAGCGCTCCCGCACCTT